ATTTCCCGATACGATCTTTCGATGCGCAGAAGGTTCTCAGTGGCTTAAGTTAAAATGAAGCATAGCAACATCTGGTAACCACTGGCTAAACATGTGGATACCAGTATAAGTCTGACAATATGATGATATTTGAGCATTTTATGCTGTTTCTAATATATGAAACTTCGTCACAAATGGAAGTCAAAAATCGACTGGTAGAAAACGATTTAATGAATTTAATGAAGTGAAAATTGTACGGGAAAACTAAGGAAGAAAAGTTTATGTACGTTTCAGTATCGGTCTTTCTCACATTCCCTTCATGAAAGCTGATGGTTAGGCGCTGATCTCCATTGATATGATGGCCGAGAGGGCCTGATTTTAAAGACAGGGTAGATCCGCAGCTATCTGAAATGCATAATGTGTAGTTCATGTTTTCTTCCCACAGCGGTACTAATTATCTAACTCCCAATGAAAGAAAAGCTAGTGATTTGGCCAGGGTTCGAATCCAAAATTGTTTACTGACCAAGTAACCCTGATCTTAGACCTTTCTGGAAACTTGTTAAAAATTGTATATATCTCAGAGTGTGTTTCTCATTGTGGGAGATGAATGTTTGAACGAGGTAATTTGTTTTTTGAGCTCTGCGTGTGGGCTGTTTGGCTTATGATATATACGAAACTGTAAGAAGAATCATGTGATTTGAGGCAAGTTTCAGCGATCCGCTTAGCTGATGTTTCAAAAAGATGACAAACTTGCTTGGAGGATAATTTTGAAGTGTAAAATACTGGGGGGATTTTGCTGTCGCTTATACACAAAATGTCATTTCCGGATTATTGCTATCTAGTTATCGGACGTTTTATCCTGCCCAGTATATAGTGCGAAACTTTCTCTTGAAATTTGCATTGGGACATAGTATATAAATTTTTGCCGTTTTGGGACATGGAGCTAGTCGAAATAGTGTAGGAGTGGTTTAGTATATCCAACACAGGTGCTAATTTGAGTACCACTGATCGATGATGCATCCATGCGTGTCATAGCTAATTTTTGCTGTGATGGATCACTAACTTCATTCTCTGCGTTGCTTAGGGATTATCTGTCCGTTGTAGTGTTCTCTTCATGATCCATTAAAGGGAATCATTAGGATTCAGAACAAATAACGCCGTTAGCTAATGCCTAGCGTTACTTCTGTGTTGCAGTAAATTTGTAACACTATTTCATACGGATTATACATCGCTAACATGGATAACTTAGCAGAGTTGCAGTTCAAGCTTTGTTAGTTTCAGGCGATGAAGAAAACTGCAGCAATGCGGGAATAGAATGGAGTCTGCATTGGAAGATCATTACACAGCATTTTTAAGTACCGTTCAACCCTCAGAAATCGTATCAATTTGGCACACATCGTCAGGTTTTCTCTGAAACACAACAGTCGTCTGACTCAGCTACCTTTCACCGTTAATGCAATTAGTCGCAGAGCGTCCCTCTTTGACGACGTGACGAGGTAAACGACGGAACTTCCTGTCTTTAAGATTTCAGTTTTGCCGTGCTTTCTTGGTTGTGTTCAGCATACAGACCAAGGGATACATGGGTGAGACAGTTCGCTTTGGCAGAATCTCTGATTATGAAACATTGCAATGCCGCTATCACTAAAGATTGATGTTCTGATATCAGGTTTAAATAAGTTATCCCAAACCACCAGGCCATTTTTTTCAGTGAAATATATGTAGTTTTTTCGCTAGACGAAATAAAACAAACAACAGTAGATTGAAAGAATACAGTAACATTATGCTGATCATATCCAATGTGACCAGCTTATGTGTAACTGTTTGAGCAGATTAACCATTTAGCACAACTGTTAAGAATCATGTCTCGGTCTTTAACAGAATGGTTCAATTGGCGACTGCGAGTGACTGTTCGTTTACTTAGTCGCTAAAATGAATCTAAACGGAAACATTTTTTTAGTGCATATCCCGTCCCATTCTTTGTTTTGCATTTAATTTTTTTGCCTTTAGTCTTGAAGACAAACGCCGGCACGGAGAAAAGAAGAAGAAAGCACATTTTTATGTAAAGCATGAAAACGAAGACGAACTTCTGGAAATTTTGAAAAAATATCGTGATAGGGTAAAAATTATCTATTTATATACCAGTACTTCAGCGTTACAGTACTAATACGGTGCGGTAGCAGTAACTTAAGTATATACCAGTTCATCTGTCTAACAGCACATTATTGTACATTAATAGTGCGTACTCCAATTAGAATGAGGAGTTTGTGGTGAGCAAGAACACATTGCTGATTCCGAGGGAGATGAGGCAGAATGGTTGCGAAAATGATGTGGATAAACGGGGTAAAGATAAATAAGGAGAAAGTGATAGTGAAGGTGATGAAGATTGACATGGTGATGAAGATGAAAAAGGAAATGTAGAAGTCTATGAGTAAAAGATGAAGATAGTGGACTGTACAGTCGTGATGATTAAGAAAAGGACGAGTAGAAAATGGAACAAGCTGGTGATAGAGATAACAGCGAAGAGGTCAACGAAAATGAAAAAGAATATGATAACAACGAAAATTTATCGAAGAAGAAGGAGCTGATTATAAGGATAATTAAAAGATGATAAAGGAAATGGAAAAGGCGGTGGTGAGATATAGATGAAAAAAAGCTTAAAGAAAACAAACTGTGGATGCTTTCATCAATCGATTATGATAAACTTAGACAGGGTATATATTCCGTCTGATGTAGGCGTCTTTTCAGTAATATATGCCATGACTACCAACTTTTAATTTGGTATAAATGCAGTAGCGGAACGGCTATTTTTCGATTAATGTTTTGGTTGAAATGTTTTCGTTTTAAACATTTTCAGATTTAAGAACATTGAACCATTTTAGGCGTGACACTTTGATCTAAGCGCGAGATTCAAAACATTGTTTTTTCATGTCCGCTCTTCATTGTTTTGAGGAAGCGTTTGATTTTAGATTTCATGATCAGATTACCTCTAAAAATTGACAATTATGCATAAAACCATTTTTGCAGCACTTCCTTTAATGGTACATTAAGTTGGTGGATAAAACCCCATCCCGTAATGTACGGGAGAAGGGATGGAAGAAGTAAATGTGGCCGTATCGAAAGTCAATGGGAAATGCCCAGATCAGTCTAAATCTTATGAACCTAAAATTTAGAACCCTTCTGGAATTGGACGAAAGACCAACGGACACCTTACAAAGGTTACCATTAACCAGAACGAAATGAAGAGATCAAGCGGAGGTGATGCACGGTAGCACTGAACCAGGATCTATCAAATAATAAGAGATTTAGAGTTCTACCGATATGCTGTTCTTTGAAATATGAAGATTGTTCTGCTTATTTGTCGTTGTTTTTTATGAAAGATATAATCAGAGTAAGACATAAAATCTAATTTAAGACAGATTTATTTATGTGACTTTAATGTCTGTTTTAATTAACTGTAATTGCAATGGTTCAAAATACGTCATCATAACCATAATATGCTGTTTGGCTTGTACTTCTAGCCTTGGCTTTGTTTCTTAAAATGTGTATTTTTGTCTTATTCAATTTGTTTTAGTTTACTTTAGTCACAGAGTGATTATTGTATCATCACTAATAGTGCCTTTGTCAACAAACTTCTAATTAATTAACTTTTAATTTAAAATTTGAGTTTTTTATTTATTTTTGCATTACGGTTAAACTAATATAGGCCAGAGAACGTCGTGATGGCGAACTAAAAGAATACCAGCATGAGCTGGAACTCATAACTGCTACCGGTGGATATCGTGCTGTCGCTCCTGACATCAAAGCGTATGTATTTTTCAATGTTTTACCTTTTATTCTTATGAATTACTTAAAGAATGCCTTATTTCGTTTTTTGCGCACGTATCTTTAGTCAAACTGAAGCTTAAGAAATTAGCCCCACTTGGACATAATCCTTTCATTCTGACCCTCAGGTCTCTCTTGTGTTAGGGACACATGCCAATCGTCGACTACGAAAACAGCATGTTGCAACATGGCGTTAAATATATAGTCGGATGTGCATTCAAAAAGGAACTACGTTTTTGGTAGCTATATAAGTATTGCATTTAGAACGCAAGGGCTGGAAAGCTGTGAATGTTGGTGAATTCAGGACTGTAGGAAACGGCGACATTTGGCAACTGAAAACAACTCAAGTGGTACAAATGCCGTTTATATCGATGAGGACAATGATATACAAGTTTACAAGTTCAGACAGCATTATTTACCCAAATTTCCCAGATTTTACCTATCCTTATCTTTCAGATTTTTAAAATTTTTTTATTTCTCATATCTGTAAACAGCATTTAACAAATCTTCCGGTAGTTTTGCCCATCATCTCTTTCGATGTTTACAAGATAGGTAAAAAGTACAGCGAAAGATTTTGAATGTTCTTTCTCAAGGAATTAAAAAGAATTGTGGCTCTTGATCTCGTTACTCGAGTTCTATCTCAGCTTAAACTTATCTTATTAATTAACTGAACTTCTCAGAAGCTTCGTTGATCTCAATTAGCATAGTTTTGTTGGCAAACGGTTTTCAGGTGTATCACAAACCTTTGCTGTCACTTGGTTGCTCCGGAATTTATTCTGCAACGTACTTTCTCACGATCTCTACTTTGGTCGTGGCTCACTTTGTAGCAAGAGTGGATTACCATAAGATTCATTCCTTGACATAAAGAAGTAACTTAGCTAATTAGTTCATTTACGTTGGCGACTGATCATGGAAAGTTTTCGAAATCGGCATACTTAGATTATGGATTGCGTCAGGTCAGAATGTGTGCTGTGATGCAATTGCTTGTTAAGTTCCTCTTTGAGTGTCGTAGTTCTGTTACAGATGAAAGGTTTGCCAATGAGTTCAATTTCCCGGTCAAGTCTACGTATCTCAGTAGTATCACATTCTCGTTTTAAAATGACCGGCTGGGTTTACTGCTTTTCAGTTGATTTGTCAACTGAATCAAGTCGAAAACAGACTGACCTGCAGTAACCATTTGCTCTTTGTTTAAGGCTGGTTAAGCGTCCTTGACTGAGATTGGCATGGTACTTACGTCGCCCCCGTAAGTAGCGGCAGTTAGGGATCTCTTTCGGTTCTGCTTAAATGTTTCTGAGAATTTTTCCTTCGATGAGGTTGCACCTGTATGGCGTGTATCAGATTTTCGGAGGAGCTTTCAACTTATCTTTGTTTTGCGTATTACTGTTGAAGCAGTTGATCTAACCGCATGCGCTTTTTTTTGTAGATGGTAGTAACAGCATGAGTGTTAGACCTGAATGTAACTGTCGCTGCATTTAACTAGTATTTGTCTTCAGTCCTTGATTAGTATTTTCATTCAACAGCATTATCAGCGCTTGATTTCCTTTTCCAGATGTCTGGATGCGGCAGAACGTAGGAAGCAGATGATCGAAGAGTCAAAGTATTTGGGAGGCGATATTGAACATACACATTTGGTGAAGGGTTTGGACTATGCGCTTCTGCAGAAGGTTTGCAGTTTTCTTTGATTATCCCTTGCTTGTCCTGTCAGTCGAGACGAACTGTTTCAGCTGCTGAATAACAGGCATTAATATTTTATTTAGAATCCAAGGTATTTAAAATCATAGTTGTACTTATTCTTTTTCGAAACTGCGCCATCGTCTCTCGTTTCACTTCGATTGTGTCGTTTCACTGTTTTAACGAATGTTGACCCATGAGATCATCAGCAGTGACTCTACGCCATACTATAAATCCTGGTACCTTGGCTTATGCAGAGTGCACCACTGATTATGATATAAATGCATAAATTAGGTCAGGTTAGCCTAACAAGAAGAGCTCAAATTCTTACTCGATCTCGGTTCAGTCACGCTTTCTTAGCTTTCCATCAGTTTCGTGAGAATGAAGCAATATGGTTCAAATTGAAGTGGGTATGTACCTATATGTATTTTCTTAAAATGAAACTGATATATGAATTTAATTGCATCGAAATGAAAATCTGCATAGAACCATAAACATGTTGAAAACAGGGTGCCCACATTTCACCACCAAAGTGTAAGAACGACAGATTGAGAACTGACTAGTAACGCTACAAACCGTTTTTTGTATAACGTAATTGGGTGCGGTTGTTTCTGCAGAGCAGGAACTTATTGAGAATATTTGAGGCCACAGTATACATCGCGTAATCCAATGCAACAGGTTTTGTTTAGGCAGTCTTTAGCTTTTGAAGTTTTTTCTCGTTTAGTTCCAACCGTTCATTAAGACCTTATTTGTTACCGATTGACGGTGAGTTAATTTTCAGGTGAGAAGTGAAATATCGGCAAAGCAAATTGAGGAAGTCGAAGTGGAGAAAGTTTACCAAGCGACTAAAAGCGAACGAGAAGAAGTTGAATCTCAGGTTAAAAGCCCACTTGGTAAACTGGTTTCGTTGCTACTAATTAATAAAGACATGCAGTCTGACTTTTAGCCAAGAACATTTACGCGCTGCTATTCAAAGCCGAAGTTCCAAAGGTCAATGATATGTTCGCCCCCAGAAGAATGGCCTACGTTGTAGAGCTAGACGATAATAGTGTGGACACGGATATCCCGACGACGCTTATCCGCTCCAAACAGGAATGTCCAGTTGACGAAGTAAGGATCACACCGGACTGCGTTGGTCTTGATAATGAGCGATGTTGAACCCATTTGATTAATGTCGTGCTGATCCTTCCTTTTTCTCCAACCATTGAATTTGAAGATTCCTCTTCATGCGACTTATTTCATTGAATGTTTAGCTCGAAATTATGTTGCCGTTTCTAGTGCTTGTAGAGTTTTGATCAAAGTTGAATAGCCACATGGTATAGAGGCCTTA